AGGTGTTTTCATCAACACAGACTCCAGTCCCTTCACCATGAAAAAAATGACAACTTTCTTTAGGCATTTTCAAGATGTGTCTTTCATAGGATATGACATTTCTTTTTTTCTTTCTTTTTTTATCCTCACCTGAGGATATGTTTCCATTGATTTTTAGAGAATGTGGAAGAGAAAGGGAAAGACAGAGAGAAACATCAAAGTGAGAGGAACACTTTGATTGGTTGCCTCCTGCATGAGCCCTGACCTGGGCTCAGGCCAGGGAGGAGCCTGCAACCTAGGTACATACCCTTAGTCAGAACTGAACCCAGACCCTGCGGTGGGCAGGCCGAGGCATTATCCACTGAGCCAAACTGGCTAAGGCAGGATATGACATTTCTTAGCCTTCCAGCAGTGGACCTTCCTTTTTATCTCCAGGAGTGTGGTGAAAAATCCTAGATCACCTATTTGGACTCTTATTACCTAAGTTACTAAGAATATTACCAGTGGCATACAGGGAGCTAAGCCAATGAGCAGTCAGAAAAGGTGTTTCCTCTGTAGTTCACACCAATTGCCGGCTTGGCACCCCCCGAACCCTCCGATTGCTGGCTCCGCCCCCCCACCCAGGCCTGACGCCTCGGCCAGAGGTGTTGACCTCCATCACCCTCCAATCGCTGGATTGGCCCCTTGCCCAGGCCTGACGCCTCCGCCAGAGGTGTCAGGCCTGGGCAGGGGACCCCCATTTCCCCCCAATCACCAGCTTCTGGGGCTTCTGGGGCCGGTCTGTGGCCGAGGCCTTGAGGCTGGGCAGGGCACCCCCAGCTCCCTCACCGCCGCCGCAAGCAGCCGCCAGCAGGGATCGCTGGCCGGCTCTGTACCTGTGCAGGCCCAATGCTGGGCCTAATGCCTCAGTCCGTGGCTTGGCGCCTACATATGCAAATTAACCGCCATCTTTGTTGGCAGTTAACCGCCATCTTTGTTGGCAGTTAATTTGCATATAGCCCTGATTAGCCAATGGGAAGCGTAGCGGAGGTACGGTTAATTACCCTTTTTGTCTTTTATTAGATAGGATAAATAATATTCTAATAAAGCTAATATGAGAAAAGTAAATACTAATACAAAAGTTATCACAAGACCAAGATCTATGAATTAAACCTTTTTTTCCACCTAAAGCTGCAGTTCACAAATGTTTAACAAGTGTAAACATCACTGGAGAGCTTGTTAAAACACCAACTTCTGGCCCTACCCCAAGAGTTTCAGATTTGGGAGGTGGGAGGGGCCAGAATTGGCCTTCAAATAAGTTCCCAAGTCATGCTGATGCTGATCCAGGACCCCACTTTGAGAACCACTGACCCAAAGAAATCTTCACAACAAGCATGTAATGATTCTAAGCAATGAAAACTTCTGTGAATTAGGTTTAATTAGAATTCATTTGAATTTGTTTTTTTTTATGAAGAGTCTGTAGAAATATTCTTTTAACACTGCGTGCATTCTTGGGAATGAAAGCAATGTCTCCATCTAGACACCAAATAAAGGTTCTTCAGGGTCCTGCTCTCATGAGACTGCCGGGAAATACAATGTATTTCATTTTAACTTTATGAAAATGAATGCACAAATTTGTCCCCAAGAACAATGATTAGTCCTCTATCATTCAATGCTGATCAAACAATCCACTAATTAAATAGATCCACACAAAATGTTTTAAGATGTGAGCTAAGTAAGGTCAAAAGGAATGATTCTCACAACCTTTAAGAAAACAAAGAGAGCCCAGCCAGAGTGGCTCAGTTGGTTGAGCAAAAGTCCACTGAGGTCACCAGTTCGATTTCGGGTCAGGAGACGAGGCTGGGTTGCAGGCTCGCTCTCCAGTAGGGGGCATGCAGGAGGCAGCCGATGTTTCTCTCACCGCTGTTTCTATTTCTCTCTCCTCCATTCCTCTCTCTGAAATCAATAAAACATTTTTTTTTTTTAAAAAGAAAATAAACAGAATAGGAACCTGGAAATGCCTTATTGAACTATCAACGCCCATCAGTGAGCACCTGAAGGGGAAGCAAAGAAGCCGCATTTGCATCATTTTTGTGCTGGATCAGTTATTGTTCGGCAGAAACAAATCACCCGACTCTTTCCGAGGTGATTTTAGATTCTGAACTTGCTTCCCTGTAGGCTTTTTCATAAACAAATAACTAGAAAGGTCTCTAAGGAGGGGAGAGACCAGTTCCTCATTTCAACGTGTATCAAGTTTGTTGCCCACACTCTGCTGAGAAGGGTCCATTGTTACAGGTGTGGAACCTGCTCTTCCCAGCCCTCGCCTGGCAGCTGGCTTTGTGGTTCTGCCGACTCCCTTGTCAGGACTCACCTGGACAATGTCAGCTTCAGAGACAGACTACCCACAGGTATTGGAGGCAACCTTCACTCTGTCTGGGTTTCTCTCTTGCACTTTCATTTGTTCAGAGCCGGTTGCTACCAGCTTCTCTTGGTCCTGTCTTGCTGGCTTCTCTAAAAGAACAGGTGAGTCATTAATCTGCATGCTTTAATTTCCCTTACACTGAGATTGCCTCCCAACAGTGTGGGTGGCGTTTTCTGGGTTCTTAAGGCTTGGCAGGTAAAAGGTTGGTGAATTTTCTTTATAATATTATTTATTGATTTAGTCCTTTAGAGGATAGAAAGGAGAAGCATGAACCCGAATTCTTCTGGTAACTTTTGACTCCTTATCATATTCATGGAGGTCATCATTTAGGGAGAGCCTCCCAGGACCCTCAGCCATGATCTCTGAACCTCTGCCTCAAGCCTGTGAGGGAGGTACTTTGATGCCTCTTCATAAAAGGGGCCCAGAGGCTAACAAAGGGGGTGTGGCTTGTCCTGGGTCCCAGGCTAGCTGGTAGTGAGGTGAGGTGGGAGAGCCAGCAGATGGTCCGGAGCCTGAGGGCTCTTCTCTCTGCAAAGTGCCTCCCAAAGCCCTGTTATTTAAAGATTCTCTGGTTTTTCAGTGAGTTGTGTCAGCAGTTACTAGTGCCTTGGTTCCAATATTTGAGACACTGGCCACTAAACAATACTTGATGACCCTTAAATTCTAAAGGACAAAATAACCTCCTACTGCCCATCATACCCTTATGTCGGGACACTGGGAAGGAAATCTGAAGCAGTTCCCTAACCCCTCAAAGGCCAGAGGGGAACCCCAGGGACTAAGAATTCTGATGGAGCTATTCTGCAAGTGCCTTTGTGAATGCAGTGAATTCCTGTTAGGGTGTGGCTGCCTAGGATGTGGACAGTGCTATAAAGAGGAACATTTAAAAATCCCCTGGGTGTGTACATGTGTGAAAGTACCTGTAACTCCAGTCTTCAGCTCAGCCATCTGTTTGTTGGGAGGATGAGAAACTGGCCTCTCCAGTTAGGGCCTGGAAAGAGACCTAATGCATCTGTTTTCATCGGTGGTCAAGATGGGCTTTTTCATTCTTCTCCAGCGAAGCTGGGATCAGCCTTTAAAGCAGCAGCCAAGATTATCAATCTGAAAACAAAACCAGTTCATGAACATGTGAGTTTCCTAACTAGTATTCCCCTCTCCCAGGTGTCCCAGATAAGGGACCTCATGCATTTTTATTCTACATGGAAAGTTCTGTACACTTGAGTCCTCTGTTTAAAATATTAAAGCACAACCAACATTAAGAATTGCAGATTTCTTTTGCAGATAAGAGCTGAATTGACTTTAGTTGGTATCTAGGTAGTTCCTCAAACAATTCTCAACCTAAAGTTCATTTGGCCTTAACCCAGATGAGAACCAGGGAGTAAGTATAAGAAAGCACAAAGTCTGCAGGGTCAATGTCATGACAATGCATAACACTGGGTTCCTCCTCTTTGCTGATAAGAGTAAATCTAAGTGGCCGAAACCGGTTTGGCTCAGTGGATAGAGCGTCGGCCTGCGGACTGAAAGGTCCCAGGTTCGATTCCGGTCAAGGGCATGTACCTGGGTTGCGGGCACATCCCCAGTAGGAGATGTGCAGGAGGCAGCTGATCGATGTTTCTCTCTCATCGATGTTTCTCTCTCATCGATGTTTCTAACTCTCTATCTCTCTCCCTTCCTCTCTGTAAAAAATCAATAAAACATATTAAAAAAAAAGAGTAAATCTAAGTAAGAGCCTATTAATTCTCTCAACACAGCTTTTTTTTTTTTTAACTTCTATGCTTAGAACCGATTAGAAGAAACAAATTAAAGGGGAGAGCAGCTGCCATAGTCAAGCACACAAAATATAATGAGAAGCAATGAATAAAAATTAGGGAGTATATCAGTATGAGGTCATTTTGTTTGGAGTAAGTACTCACATGCTATAAAAACCTGTGACAAGTATTGCATTCCTCATAGAACTACATTAAATGTGGATTATAATCATTGTATTTCAGATAGCACTGTGAGGGATAAGGTTGAGGAGGTAAATAATACACCATAGAAAAAGTTCTAAAAAAATGTTGTTGGTGCAATTAAAATTTTTTAGCACTAAAAACAGGAAATTATTAGTTCTCCTTAAAATTTGGCTATCCAAATGTGTTCATTCTTAAAGGGTTCTAGCTTGCCGAGTTTCACTGTGAATTATAGACTTGCTAAAATTTTATTATTTAAGAGCTCACAATATGTGGTCAATACTGATGTTATCTGGCTTCCAAGCTATCTGGCTTCCAAGAAGTCTCTTAGCTCACTAAACTTTTTTAAGGTTTTTTTTGTTTGAACCTGGAAGGGATATCAAGTAAATAGCAAACCAATTTTTACATGCAGGCTATTCAGATGAGAAGAATGGACTCACGCACGTTAATTATCTCCCAACCGTAAAGGCTGATCATGTAAACTGGGCTATCCCTGTGTCCTATGATGAATTAGAATTTTCATGTGAAATGTCAGACACCTTTTTTCTCACCCGAGTGTCCTTCATTCGTGATAGATTCCACACTCTGCTCTTCCTCACTAAAGATGCAGCAACCTGCCTGTGATTATCTTCTGGAAAAGGACAAAAACATCCTAGAGGGAGAGTGGCACTTGGATGCGGAAACTGAACAACCCCCATGTGGTCCAGAGAAGAGCAGCTCTGATAGTGTCCCCCTGGCAGCTTCCAGCCACACGGCCTCTTTGCTGCATGGGGAAGACAGAGCAGTCGCACCCAGAGCAGCCCCAAAGCCTGGAGGCCTGTCCTCTGCACCCCCAGGGAGGCCTGTCGAGGAAGCCCTGTGAGAACCAGGGGAGCCTTCTCCACTTCGACCGGCAGGCCCCAGGCCGGATTTCCACCTCGCCCACCTTGAGGAGATTAAGGGGCAATGGCTGTGGGACCAGGCACTCCCTGCCTCAGCAGGAGACCTTGGAAGAGCCCACCTGGGGCGGCCGGAAGGAGCCTGCAGGCTCCCCGTGTTACCTTTCCCAGAGTCTACCTGCAAGCCCCCAAAATTCTTCCCACTCTTTATCAACCTTGAGACTTGGCTCAAGATTGCCTCCAGACCCCAAAAGGATCCTCACCACAGCTGACTCGTCTGAGCCCCAAACAAGGCCCACAGATGAGGCTGCCTTTCCAGTGCTTCGGCCTGTCCACGAGGGGTCCCTTCCCCCCTCCTCTCTTCCAGGGAGAGGAAGCCGCTCGCCCCGCCCTGCTGCACGGCCCCCAGGGCCTCAGGTAACAGCTCTAAGCCCCCTGCCTCTCAGCCCCTGGGCCGCAGAGCAACATAGGCCTCCGTGTTTCCACATTTCCCCAAAGGCCAGGGGCCCTGGGATGGGAGACAGCACAGGAGTCACCGCTGAGGGGACACACACTCTTTTGGACAAGCTGCCTCTCAAGTAAAAGGGGTGCAGCAGTTTGGGGAAGAAGGAGATGGAAGTCTAGCTCACTTTCATTTTCTATATCCTGAGGGCACTTTAAGAAAGCGCCCTCCGAGGTCAGGCTAGGAGAGATGTCTGTCCGGCATCGGCTGGTAAAGGTGGCCTTCTTGCAGGTACACATAATTCAAAGACGACATTGTATGACCAGTTTCAAAGGAAAGAAAGAACAGATTATTAAAATTTCTAATCTTCTCTCCCTCCCCCTCCAAAAAAAAAAAAGAGAGAGAGAGAGAGAAGTCTAAAACATGTTAGCTAGAAAAGTTAACTGTCTCTCCTTTCAAGGTGTCTGCTTTGGAATTTTGGGTGGATTTAAGCAAAACTAAAATGTTTATTTCTAACTTCTATTTCAGGGAGAAGAATTGCATCAGTCCAGGTGTGTACGTATTTATTTTTTCTGGCGCTGTGAAACCTGTTGACTGTTCACTTTGCATCTACTTTTCTGTTCTGACAAAGCAAAGCCGATGGCTTATTAATCAGGGCACTTTGTTTCATACGGTAGCTCCCATGTCACTCTTCACACTTACAAATAAAGAATCTTAATTTTAAGAGTCTCCTTTAGAGCACAGCATTTTGCTGTGGCTTTTGGGGGCAGGGTATGACAGCCACATGTGGTCATGGTTTTCATTTTGAATTGTCAATGAATTGGCCCTGTGGCTTAATTAGCATACACTTAATAATAGGTTTGTCAGGTAGAGAAAGTGGGAAGGACATGAAACATTCAACAGCTTTTCAAAGAGAAATTCAGAGGACAAAGATAAAAGAACAAGATGCGCTGTTTAAATCTAGGACAGACTTTAAAATGTCTGTGACAACTGTGCCTTTATCTAGAACACAGGTGGATTGCGTCACCACGGAAACCAGCTCTGCACTTGCAGCATGGCCCTCAGGTTGTGGCGGTGCATTTGCCATCCCTCCCAGGGAGGAAGAGCTTCTCTGGCTGCAAGGGAAAGCTCCATGCCTAATTTCATCCACCCAGTTTGTGGGGTTGGGGGAAAAGCCCTCATTTCATTTGGAAAGTCACGAAGGAATCTTCAAGGAATTAGCCATTGTATTGTTACTGGCCGAGGCAAGAATCTGTGTTCAAAACAGGAAAGACAAGGTCCATTTCTTCAATCTTTGCTGATTTTAACCCCAGATGACATAAATATATGGACAAATGCAGGGAATATTTACCAAGCCACAGGAAAATGCATAAAATTGTGTTAGTGTAAGAGTTAGCTATTGCTACCTAACAAACCATCCTAAATCTCAGTGGCTTAAGACAACAACCAGTTATTGTTTCTTCAAAATCTATGTGTCTTCTGAGGGCTAATTGATCTAGGCCCATGGTCGGCAAACTGTGGCTCACGAGCCACATGCGGCTCTTTGGCCCCTTGAGTGTGGCTCTTCCTAAGCCTTAGGAGTACCCTAATTAAATTAATAACAATGTACCTACCTATATAGTTTAAGTTTAAAAAATTTGGCTCTCAAAAGAAATTTCAATCGTTGTACTGTTGATATTTGGCTCTGTTGACTAATGAGTTTGCCGGCCACTGATCTAGGCCATACTCAGCTGGATAGTTCCCCTCCACATGTCCCTCATCCTTTCCATGGGACCAAAGGTCCACCCCAGACATGTTTGTTTTTCTTATGGTGAAGGGAGAGGTTCAAGAGAACAGGCAGAAACGTGCAAGGCCTCTTGGAGCCTGAGCTCTTTATCTTGCCTAATTTATTGGCCCAAACAAATCACATGGCTGAACTCAGGGGAAGGAAATTATGTGTCAATAACAGTGGGGGAGCATTGAAATGTTACATGGCAAATAGCATGGAAACAATAGTTGGGGAAGAATGGGACCATTCATGCAAATCTTCCACAGGTTCAAACAAAAATAAAACTCTAAAATGACACCTAATTTAGATGTGTCATAGAAAGAGAAACAGAGAGTAGTCTGAGACAAAGATGAAGATGTTGATTGGAGTCATTATGAAAGGAGAAGGTTTAGAATAAATGTGAGAGTAGAGGGTGGACTGGCAGCTTCCTTTCACATCAGGAGCCACGTGCTATTCTTCCAGTGAGCTCCCCATCCTTTCCGGAAAATGGAATATTTTGGTAGAAAGTTGAACTGGAAAACAATCATACAGAGTCTAGTAGAATGTTTAGGGATTTGTTCCTTTCCCAAAGAGCAGTGTGAAGTCATTGCATGGATTGATGTGATCAGATGGATACAGAGTAGACATGAGATTTAGATGAGAGTGGACTCCAGCAGAACAATTAGAGGGTTCAGGTATGAGAAGTTGGTAGGTTAGGCTTCGATAGAGGCAGTGGAGTTAGAAAGAGGTCATGCTGAGCTATTTAAGAACTACAATCACCTAAAATTTGCAAATTGTAGACCATGAGGGGTGAGGGGAAAGAAGTTGTCAAGAATGACCTCCAAGCTTCTGGCTTGTACCACTGGGTGGCAAATGGTTCCATTTGCTGATCTAAGTAACATTGAGGGGAGCAGAGGAGGAGGACAAGGGTAGATGGGATGTAGGTCTTGACTACAAATCTGAGCATGTTAGGTTTGAAGACCCATGAAGCATCTGAGTAAAGATTTTGAGTACATGCTTGATTAGAGAAGGCATCATGGATGGAGATTTATATCTGAAGGTCTTTAATCAAGGAATGCTTCCAAGAGCAGGTGAAGTCTGTGTCCAGCTTTGATTATAAGATGGAGTTAGCAGACATAAAGGCTAAGTGATAGGGACACATTAAGCCACTTGCAAAAGATTATGTGCAGGCAGTATTTATTGACATGCAGAATCTTTGTGAGGCAATAAGAGAAACAGTCTTAGTAAATTCAGAGGAACAACTTGGTCAAAGAACTTGAGGACTTTAAAAGCTCTGTGGAGTTCAATACATCACAGTCACATAATATGAAATAGTGGAAGTTCACAGAAAATAAAAACAGGAAATTAGAAGGCAGGTAACTTGGACATCTTGATATCTAGTGATGACCCTGAATTACTAAATATTGTTTCTTTAGGACTTAGTACAATACTTGGCATGTAGAAGGCAAGGATTGTTGAATGAATAAGTAAGAGACTAAATAACTATAATCTATGAGTTAATATGTTAAATATTCATATATTAATAAAGCAGTAATTTTTTCATCAGCCATAGACCACTCTATATATTTTTAATCAAAAAAGTTCACCTTAAGCATGAATCCTTGGTAAACAGCTAACCATCTGTAGCACAAAGATCCTCTGTCTGACTGTGTTTTGCTCCCTCCCCCTCTTCTTTGTCATGTCTCTAATCTTTTCCACAGCTGCCATTGGTCAAAGGGCTGCTTCCTTCAGATAGCTTACCAGGCTCAGTCATATTGTCAGGAAAAGAGCTCTGCCTGAGGCCCTGCTGGCCATCCAGGAGCCAGGGGCCTTGCTTTAAAACCCTCATCTAAATTTAGCTAACTTAGGGCTTGAATATGCCTATTAAATGGTATAAACCTAGGACCAGCAAACTATGGCCTATGGCCCAAATACTGCCCACCACCTGCTTTTACAAATCAAGTTTTAATGGAATACAGCCACACCCATCATTTTAATCCATCTATGGCTGTTTTTCTGGCCATGCAATGAAACAGACTGTATGTCCCAGAAAGACGAAAACATTTACTATTTTGTCCTTTATAGAAAAAGTTTGCTGACTCCTGGTATTTTAAGAAATACTTGCCTCTGTGACTGTCAGTTAATCAAAACAATTATTTTGCCTTGTTGAATTTCAGATATAAAATCCTTTTTACAGAAATACAGCTTTATTTATTTATTTATTTATTTATTTATTTATTTATTTATTTATTTGCTATAGTGTTTTAACATGTGGCCTGACAATTGGGCAGACTCATGTATATGAGAAGGGCCCAATCTATGCTCAGTTCTGAAATCTGTTCAGTATTATTGCTTTAATTCCAGGTTTTTATTGTGAATTTTTTCCTCACTGTCATCCCCTCTCTTCCTCCATAATATTTCAGTGTACTCACATTTATTCTAAACCTTCTCCTATCACCAAAATATACCTCCTGGAAAATAATCTTTACAATTCATCCTTACTTTACAATTTATCCTAAAATGTGAAGAACTTTAAGTTTAAGAAATATTACACTTACCTTTCCAGGTAGAGCAGTGTATTTCTTTCTTTTGGATTTCCTTATAAACGCCTCATCATGGTATCTAATACGCTGTACTGCATTTCTTTTATATTCATCTGCTTCCAGAATCAAGACCTTCCTGAGAGCAGAGAACACTTTTTTATTCTTAAAACTCTAGGACCCAATTAGAATCTATCTCTACAAATATTTATTGAGGGAGGGGACAGATGAAGGAAGGAAGACAGGCCAGCCACGGACTTCTTGGTTTACAGTGTTACTTGTCTCTCCCAGATGTATTTGCATTTTGAGAGCACATGAGTTGACACCCCTTTAAATCTATATTCACAGAAAGTTGTGTGTCACACCTAATTTTCTGGTCAGCCCTGAAGCTGAGAAGGGAAACCTACATATTATGTTCATGAGAACAAAGACTAACCTTCCAGTGTTCAAAAGGAAACAAGAAAAAATGCTAACTGTATTCAAATTAGCAAGTGGGGCAACATTAGCATGAAAATCAAATGACAAGGTATTTGGAAGCCTATCACCGGGAAGAAATCAGACAAAAACATTGAATACGAGTAATGCATCCCCAGAGCCATCTGGAGTTACCCTTAGTGGGCAGCATAACCGGTGTTAAGAGCTACTGGAATCAAACTCTGGGTTTGAATCCTGTCTTAACATCTCTCTGGCAATGTGACCTTGATCAAGTTCTTTAACAACTTGAAACCTCAAAGTCTTCATCCATGGAGTGGAGATACAAATAGTATCCATCTAATATGGCTTTTGATACTATTAAATAACATTATTAAATATTAGATGTTGTTATTTTTTAAAACCATTCACTTATTTATTC